GTCTGCGGCTGGCACCTGCGCCCACCGGCAGTGGCTGCTGTGCCCACTGTGCCCCAGGCATCATGTATGGCCTATGCTTCTTCATCACCCTGTTTGGAAGCTATGTCAGTCGGCTGCGGCGGGTCATCTGCGCTTCCTACTATCCGTCCCGGGAGCAGGTGAGAGGCCCACAGCCAGTCCCTGTCCCCCTCCCCAGGGGGCTAAGCTCATGGCTGTCTGTTTTGATTTGGGGGAGCTTTGAGTCTCCTCTGGTTGAACACCAAAGCAAATTACCCAGACTGAAGATCTCCAGATGCTAGACGGGGCTGGGATAAATAGAGCCCCCAGGGGCAGGGCCTCCAGAGACAGAGCTCACCTCCACTGCAAGCGAAGCATTGCTGAAGCCGCGGGGGAAGGGACCGTGCTGGCATGTGGGTGGAGGTACGCGTGGAAACTCACCATTTGCTCATTCATTTACTGTGGGCCAGTCCCTGTGCTGGCCTCAAGGATGTGAAGGGGCACCAGACAGTCAGGGCTCACAGTCTCCAGGCAGGCCAGATAGGCTCTTAAGGAGACATTACAAGTAAACAAGTGTTCTTATTAAGGAGTGAATGAAGTGCTATGGCAACCCAGAAGAGGGAATGGGTATCACCTAGGGGTGTCTGGAGGGCTTCCCAGGGAAGGGGCTTTAGAGCCAAGCCCAGAGGGTCTCCGGGGTTGGACAGAAGGCAAAGGCAGGGAGTGAGGATGGGTGCAGAGGGCATGCCGGGCAGATGAAACAGCATAAAGGGGGCCCTACCCCTGGTCTGCCCTCCGCAAGGCGAGGATCTCCTACCTCTACAACGTCCTGCTGAGCCGCCGAACCAGCCTGCTGGCTAACCTGAACCGGGCGGTGAGGCGGCGGGCAGCCGACCAGGGCCACGTGAGTGCCCTCCAGGTCCTGGCCAGACGGTGAGCCCACTGTCCTTCCTTATAGGAGTGGGGCAGGAGGGGACAGAAAAGAGCCAGAAGTCAGAATGGATCACCGTCCTTCCTAAGTGTCCAGGGGTCTGGTTGAAGAGGAGGCCCACTCCATGCCAGTCTCACACGGAGAGGGATGGCTTTTCTTAGTGGTGGGGAGGGAGGGAGGAGGAGGACCAGAAACAGGGAGGTTGCTGCCACAGTCAGAAGGACAAAGGTTAGGCTGCAGGAAGGCCCACCCGTGGTTTGGGGGTAGTGCTGGAGAGGTGGCCGGTCAGGCTGGCTGGGCCGGCCCGCTGAGGGTCCAGCACGCCTCTCCTCAGGTGCTCCTGTCTGGTTCCATTTATCGACCGCTTTTGGCAGCACCAGGCCTACTGCCTGGGCTGTGGACAGCCCCAGAACGAGGGGGGCTCAGAGAACTTTGTGTCCTGCAGTACCCCGGCCTGCCGAGGTGAGATTCCTGGGCAGTGTGCCTCTTCCTGCCCGGACTCACCGCCTTTGCATATGATAGTCAACTGTGCTCCTTCCTTTAGGGACTTCTCCTATACCCTGCCTTTCGTATCCTCCCCTTCATTACTATGCATGTTCTTTTCATTTACATGGAAACTTCTCCACCTTCACCTTAATTCTCCCACGTGTGGCCAGAGTTTATATGCAAGTGGCATAGCAGCAATTCCTTGGGTGCACCGCTTGACAAAGATGTGCCCCCAGGAGCGGGGGGTGGGTGGGTGGGAGCCAGGGAACACAATGGGTGAGGGTGGGTAAGTTCAGGTGAACCTCCCCTCCTGGGCCCCTCCAGGTCTCTTCTGCCCCACCTGCTTCCGCCTCTTGGACAACACCTGCTCTGTGTGCGCATCTCCCCTCTCCTACCAGGGAGAACTGGACCTGGAGCTGTGAGTCCCCAGCGAGGACTCCCCAGTGGCTGGAGTCTGTGGGGGCAGCTACCCTTCCCCCAGGACCTCTGTGGGCACTGAGACGGGAGGCTTCCTCAGGGACTCCAGTGATGAGGAGGGCCCCCGGCTGTGGCTGGCTGCAGCTCGAAGAAAGGGCCCTGCGCAGGAGGAGTTACTGCGGCAACGGCTCCGAGAAGCACTGGGCAGGACCTTCTCCTCGGAGTCCAGCTCTGAGTTCAGGTGAGCAGAGAGCAGGCGCTGGGGCTTGGGGGGCCTCAGCATGTTCTCTCACATTTGCAAAGGGCTCCTTGGGTGCCCGGCCCTCTGCTAGAGCAGGAGACGGAGATGAAAAGAGGAGAGGGCTGGAGGTTGGCTGAGTGTTCACTCTGTGTCACCGCCCCCCTCAGGAGCCCACTGAATGGGGTTGGGGGACAAAGTAGATAGATGAGTGACAACAGTGTGGAGAGTGCCCCAGGCAAGGAGTGAAGCAGGCGCTGGGCAGGACAGAGGGGAGAACAACCAATCTGGAAGGGAGGCATGTGCAGGAAGGCTTCAGAGAAGGGTGAATAAAGGTGGGGCTGGGGCAGCCTGGTGGTTTTCAGGCTGAGGGGCAGAGGAGAGCGGTCTGGGGTGGGGCCCGTGCCCATCTGGAGAGTGTGAGACACTTGGGAGAAGGGCGTGCGGTGTCTGGGTGGGGGCCTCGGAGGATGTTGACAGGTGAAGCTGGTAGTCAAAATGGGGAGAGAGGGGAGAAGGCAAGACTTGCCATCTGGAGATCCTTGGTCAGAAAGCGACATGTTCATAATCTGGCTTTTAGGACAAAAAGCCGAGAAGGCAGAGGGGAGGCTGCCTTAGTTTAGGAGCAGTCAGTGGAGGCCTCGGGACCAGGGCACTGAGAGTGACTGGGGCTTTATGCTTGGGACGGGCAGGTGCTGGGGCGAGAGAAGGGCCGGGTCTGGGGAGGGAGGAAAGGCCCAGTTCAAGGCCTTGAAGCGTCTTAGGGAAACCAATTGGAGGTGCCCAGCAGGCCATTGGAAAAGGGCAGGGCGCTGGGCCAGAGGTCTGTTTTGGCGGCTGCTGACTTAGAGACTGGAAGGGGAGGATGAGCTCTAGACCATTCCGGCAGAGAGCATGGCAGGAGAGGACAAGGGGACGGGGACAGAAGCCCGAGGGGTTCAATCCCAAACCAAGAAGGGACAGAAGCCCGAGGGGTTCAATCCCAAACCAAGAAGAGACAGAAGCTCAAGAATGTAAGAGAACCAGGTACATCACGTGCTGTGAGATGATCGAGCAGGATGAGGACCAGCCACTGACTTTGGTGGTTGACAGACCACTGGAGCGGCCGGTGGGAACACTTCCCATGGCACCGGCGAGGCCCAGACCGGATCGTGATGGTGTGAGGGGTGACTGGTACAGAAGAAGGCCCGCAAACAGAAACAGCGTGCAAGGCTCTACATCATGGTTGCAAGAAGTTTGAGAATATTTTTTTAAAGATCATTGAATTTAAACAAGGAACCTTGACGGTGAAGAGAGGGCAGTTAGCTTCACGTGGCACAGGAGGAGCTTAAAGGGGACCCAGCACTAGAGGATTTTTCTTCATCCAAGGACAGGGAGACCTGAGTATTTACTCAAAAAAGAGGGCCCTCCCGAAAGATGGGGACAGGAGCCAGGGGGATGGGGTTGCCTTGGGTGGGGCGTGCTTGCCCCGGGCGGGCCGGGAGAGGTGTGTTCCCCTGAGCAGAGTGAAGCAAGCCCCAGTCTGGTGGCCTCGATTTTCTCCGGGGAGCAGGAGGCGAGGGCGTCTGCTGAGAGAACAAAGCAGGGGTTGGGAGTGGAATAGAGGTTTCAAGGTGGTGGAAAGTGAAATACCTGCTTTGGGGAGTGTGCAAAGAAACCGAGAGGGGAGATTAAAGGATTTGCAGAGAGCGTTAAAGACCTAGATGATGCTGAAAGCCATCACCTGTGATGACTGAGTGGCGTGCTCGGTCACGTGTTTTTTTCAGGCAAACGTGGTGGTCATGCACAGGGTTCAAGGGTCGGAAGCTTTTTCTTGGTGGGTCAGGGGAGAACACATGGCGAGAGAATTGAGATTCTTCAGTGAGAGTGTCTGAGGTGACTGGCCTTGGGGAAGAGAAGGGCCTGAGACTCTGGGGGAGTCCAGGATCTACGTCAGGGTGTATTAGAGCAGGGGCAGGGGCCAGGAGGGACGGAGACAATGAGCCACAGCTAGGGAAGACATATGGAATAACTGCAGTGGGTGGCCAAAGGTGAGGGGCATGCCTGAGTGGGAGCAGAGGTGAAAGTCATTAGGGCAAGGAGGTCAAGGGTTGAAAGGCCAGAGTTGGAGGAGTCCACCAATGAGGGGGCTGCTAGGCCACACAAGCAACCAGTCCGAGAGAGCACCCTGGAAAGGTGTGGCAGTGCATCTGGAAGGTCCGGGGAGACAGCCAAGCCCTAGTGGTGTGGCTGCCATGGCAGCCAGGGGCTTTGCAAAATGCCATTGGCCAGTGGGACTTGAGAGACAAGCAGCCTCCACTTGGGAGGAATGTCCAGCGGGCACATTCCGTGTGAAGGGGGCTGGGAGTAGCAAGGAGAGGAGAGGTTGCAGGGGAAGACAAGCTTTACTCCTAGAGGCTCCAGAGGGCTCATGGAAGTTAAAAGCTGAGTCGCCAGAGGGGGCAGCTTGAGCTTCAGCAGGTCATTACTTGTTAGCAGGCCCTCACTAACATGTGACCCTGGGCAAGTCATTGCCCGCTGGTCTCTCAGCACCAGCCTGGAATCAAACGGCCACATCCATGGGCTGGTGTGCCTGCGGGGCTGTGAGAGCAGCGGGGGCTGGTGCGTGACAGGAGGCAAATCTGAACAGATGGGACGGGGCGGGACTGTACCTGTGAGAACAGAATGCTGGTGACTGACTGGGCCACCCTCTCCCTTGCCTCACTAGTGACCTGGACGAGGAACAGGGTCCTTGGCTGAAGAAGCCCAGACTGCAGTCCCCACCTGGCAGGATCCCCAAGCCCTCTTAGCCACAGCGCCCACACCCACAGCCCTCTGTCCCCAGAGCAGCCCCCCGCCCCCAGCTTTGGAACTCCAAGCTCTGTCTCTCATCTCCCTCTCCCCCGATCCCTCCCACCTACCCCAAAATAAAGGAACCAAAGGTGGACAATGTGAATCTTAAATTATTATTATTTCTTCCTGTCGCTTACACCAGAGGTGGGGGGTAGGGGAAAGGAAGAGGGGGGGTTGCCTCCCCCCATAAGGCACTGAGTGGAGAAGCCGCAAGGGGGGAGGGGGGAGGCCACATTGCCCTCACTCCATGGGGACAGGCCCCAAGCCTCCCCAACCCTGGGCTCCCCTATCACCTGAAATGCGAAGATGAGGCCCAGGACAACCTGACCTCCCCCTACCCGAATATATTACATTATCACTTTTTAAATAGATACAGGGACTGGTCCCATTACCCCCCTTCCTGTGACCCCCTCCCAGTTGGGGGTACCTGGGCAGCTGTGCAAATGGGCATGGGGTACATGGAAGGAGGGAGAGCACCGGGCCCCTGAATCTGCCCCTTTTAAGGAGGGGGAGGGGCCGCCAGGCCAGGGAGGAAAAATAGTGCAAGGCAGAGCCTAGGCTGCAATGAGGGTCCAGCACCCAGCGAGGAAGGGGAGGGGGAGATACCCCTACCCCCAGCAGAATTGGGTAATTCTAAAACTAGATTTCAACAAGACCGACAGAAGAGGCTATGTACAGGAGGGGGCAGATTGGATTTTAGAAGAGCGAGGGGATTATTCTCCCTGACCCGAAGGGAGCCTGGCTGGCAAGGTGCTGGGAAAAGGCCTCCCTTCCCACAGCTCCACAGCACACTTTCCCAGTGGCCCAGCAAGAAGTCATCTGCCTTGCCTTAGTAAGGGGGCCGGCTCGCCGGTGGATGGTTGAGGTGAGGAAGGCAGAGAAGCGGCCACGGGGGCCGCCAGATGGCGCCGGCTCGCCTGCGCTCCGCGAGGCTCTCCCAACCCCTCACCCGGTCCCACACCCCGCACCGCGCCAGCCCGGGGGCGGTGTGAGTCAGGGGCGGCAGTGGCTTGCACCTGGGCGGGGAGGAGGTGGGGAGGAGGAGAGGGTAGGACGCAGCCCGGCCCGCCCTGCCCTCTGGCCCCGGGGAGGGAGTGGCGGGAACAAGACATTCCCTGCCCGGGGACGCGGGAGGGGAGGGGAGGAGAGGGCTGAGGAGAACAGCAAAGCAGCACCCCTAGCTGGGCGGGGCCCCTCCCGCTGCCCCCAGGGGAAGGCGAGCCAATCTAGCCACCCCGCCCCCTTCTTCTCCAGGACCCCATGACTCAGCGCTGGGAGCAGGGCGGAGGGGGACGGGGATGGCTCTTTCCTTACAGGTCCAGTCCCCCAGCCATTCAAGATTCTACCTTGCTTCCCCCCACCTACCCTTCTTTTGCCGCCCCTCTTTGCATAATTCGCTGCCAGGAAAAGGGAACAGAAACCAGGAAGGAGGGGTCTCAGAAGGGAGGGGCAGTCCTTCTCCCCCTTACACAGCCAAAGCCCCAAGGGGCATGGGGGCAGGGCAAGGCTTTGGTCCCAAGCCCCCCACCCCCTAGAAACCCGCATAGCCGAAAAGGGACCCAACAAATCAGAAATACATTATTGCTTCTACTCCCCAGGCACAGCTGGGGACAAGGACCCCACCTTTACAATAGAGCTCTAAATATGTACATAATATCATATGGATCACTCCTTGGGAGATCACCCCAATCTGGGGAGCCTTTGCCCCAAAACCTTCTCAGCTTGGAACTGGAATGAGGGTTCTGGGGAGAAGGGGCTGATTTCTGATGCCAGGGAGGCTCAGGGCTCTGACCCCAGCTCTGTCCATCCTGCAGGCTCCCGCTGCTTGGCATGGGCGCCGGCCGGTGCTGCTCCAGCCTGGCCATTCATCCCTCTTTAAGAGGACTCCATGGCACCTTCCGCCGGAGGCGTTGTAGGTGCCCCCTCCTCCTCATCGTCATCAGGGGGCCCTGGGGTGGAGGCCGGTTGCCCGGTGGGAGCCGACTGCTCCCAGATTCGAGCCAGAGAGAGGCGTAAAGTGTCCAAGTGGCCATTGGAGAGGTCGAGGCCAGCGGGGGAAGGGGTAGTGGCCGAGGGCGGTGGGTAGTGGGGTGGCGCATCGTCCTTACGGCGGCGCCTGGTGCGCACCTCCAGGCAGTTCTGGCCCTTGAGGTGGCGCTGCAGGTGGTCCTCCTTGGCGAAAGCCTTGTGGCACAGGTGGCACTCATAGGGCCGGTCCCCTGTGTGCAGGTGCATGTGGTTCTTGAGGTCGTAGCTGTGCAGGAAGCGGGCTGGGCAGTGCGGGCACGAGTAGGGGCGCTCTCCAGTGTGCTTCCGCATGTGTATCTTCAGCTTGTCATTCCTGGCACATGCAGGGGTAAGGGGCAAGAGGGGTGTTCAGAATGGGGTCCTTGGCTCGTCCTGGCCAGATTCCCAGCCCTCGTCCCACTGCCACCCTAAACATTTGTCTCCCCCTTTATTGCCCCAGAACACAGTTGCTGGTCTGTCCTCAGTTTAGCTGGGCCCAGCCACCACCCACCCTGTCTCCAGCACAGCCTTCTCAGACACCAAATCTGTCATGCTTCAGACCCACCCCTCTTGACTCCTTTCCTCCGGGTCTTGCTGTCCTGGTCTCTCTCCTCACTCTGGTAACTGTACCCCACCAGACCCTCCAGGACCACCTGCCTCCCCATCTCAGGTCTCGTAACTCCCCTCTCCATCTCCCATGACACGGCCCTGCTAGGCCCCTTTCCCACTGGTGCTCACCGGGTAAAGCGGACACCGCAGACCTCACAGGCGAAGGGCTTCTCGCCCGTGTGGGTCCTCATGTGGCGTGGCAGTTTGCCTGCCCCGTGGATGATCTTGTGGCAGACGGGGCACTCCTGGGGCATCTGGGAGCGGCGCTTGCGCACCAGTTTGTCTTGGCCATCCAGGCCTGGTGCCAGGGCGTCCTGGTGCAGGGAACTTAGGTAGGCCATCAGGTCAGGATCGATGGCATCCTCATCTGAGCCCAGCTCCTCTGGGGACAGCGGGGGCCCGCTGACCTGCGGCAGCCTATAGGCTGGGGGGTATACCAACTCCTCCTCCTCTTCCTCACCTTCATAGGGCTCATAGCTCAGGGACCCCTCATCAGGGGGTGAGGCATTCCCTGTGGGAGGGCTGTAGCTGTCTCCCAGCCCACTGCTGCCCACTCTGCCTGCCACCTCCTCGTCCTCGTAGGCTAAAGGATGGGTGGGTACTGCAGACACTTCAGGTACTAGGTGGTTTGCCCGGGCCACCTTGGTCTGCAGGAAAGCTTTTCGGGGCTTGCGGCTGCGGCGGGCGACAGGCCGAGGTGGTGGTGGTGGCGGCGGCGGCGGTGGTGGTGGTGGGAGGGGCACCTGTGGAGGGCTGTCTTCACCATTGGAAACTCCCGAGGCTGTGGCAGTGGCAAAGGCCTCCAGGTACTGGCGGGCTCGCTCACAGTCATCCTCATCAGGGCTAGGAGCTTCTAGCCCACTGCCCTGCAAGATCTCCATGCAGGCAGCGATGACACAGGGGATCTCCAGCAGCTGGGCAGCCTGGAGCACTGCCGGCATGTTGGCGCTGCTGGTGGTCAGTGTAGCTGTATAGGCAAACTCAAGCAGGGCACCCAGAGCCTCTGGCCCCACAAAGTCCAGCTCACACACGCCAGCCCCTGCTCCCCCAATGGCTGTCCCGCCCCCAGCCCCCATGACCGCTCCGCCACCGCCCTCAGTGAAGAGCTTCTTGAAATAGTGGCTGCAAGCAGCAAGCACGGCCCGGTGGGTGCGGTATTCAAGGCCCTGCGTCCGGATGGTGAGGTCACATAGGTGGCCCAGCTGGCGCTGCTCATTGAGGCAGCTCAGGAGCTCGCTGCTGTGATCCGGGAACGGAATCCCAATCAGGTCGTCCTCAGGGCTCCCCATCTTCTCCTGCAGGGTCAAACAGAGGGAGAGGGTACTCAGCCCTGCAAGGGGGTCCAAGGAAGGAACACCAGCATTGGCTAAGGCTTAGGATGCCAGATACTCTTGTAAGCCCTTCACACTCATTTACTCTCACACCACTGTCTGCAGTAACAATGATTTCACATAACAAGGCTAAGGGAAGTGACTTTCCAAGTTAAACAGGACAGGGTTCAAAAGCAGGCAGAGGGCCCAGAGTTCGTGTTTCTCGCCACTGTTCAGCCTCTGTAAGGGCAGGCACCCTGATCTTCTGCCCCTTGCCTGGAGACCCATCTGCTTCGCCTGCCCCATTCCCCATCCCCTGGAAGAAGCATTGGACTGGGAGAGAGGATGCCTGGGTCCTCATCCAGGTTTCATGAAGAACTGGCTGAAGGACTCTGGGTGGCTATGGCAGGCAGCCTCAGCCTTCTGAAAAATGGGGTAACAGTCTGTGATGGAACTCATCAGCCCAGAGAGAGGCCAATGAGACTCAGATTCACACTTGACCAACATTGCTGGAGGAATGTCAGGTGCTTTAACTCAAGTTATCTCCCTAAAGCATTTCTCGCACCAGCACCATGAAACACTGCAGAGAGGAGAGGCAGCTTCCTAGCACCCTCTTCCTCCTCCTTCCCCTCCTCCTCCACTAAAAATGCATCTCTCCTTCTGTATCCCCTCTTCTAGAGGCCGAAAGGGAAACACAGCTCCCAGCATCCCGTGTCCCCCCACACACATCCTTCCCTCCCCCACGGGGCCAAGGAGAAGCAGTGCTTTGCTGGGGTGTCGCTGGCGCGGGTGCTTCCTGCCCCCGCACAGATAAGCATCGTCCCCGCCCCTCCCCCACTGCCAATAGGCCAAGTTCCAGTCCCACCCCTTTCCACCTCTGCTGCCACCACCACCACCACCACCACCACCACCACCACCCCCTTCCCACTCCTGGCCAGACAGGTGAGCCTCCCCAACTCCAGAAGGCCATCTTCCAACCTCTCTGCTTTCCCCCAAAAGGCATGGCCACAAAGGCAGAGGGCCAGCTGCCTGCAATCCCAAGGCCGGTGGAGGTAGGGGAACTGGTAGTGGAGTGAGTCTGGCCTGGAGGTGTGAGAGATTTGCTTCAGGTCCGGCTCTGCTACTAGCCGGCTGAATGGGCTTGGGCAAGTCTTTCCCTTTGTGCTTCAGTCTTCTTAGTTGTACAACGGGGTGGGAGTGGAAGCCCTAAGGGCTCAGCCCTTCAGCCTTGACACTGGAGACAGAGTTGGGGCCTGGAGAGACCCGCGCTCTGCAGTGGGCCAGGCTCGAGTGTGAATCCTCACCCTGCACTGATTAGCTCTGTGACCTTAAACAAGTGATTTAATCTCTGGACCTCCTTCCTCATCTATAACATGGAATGATGCCAGCTGATTCCTAGGGTGGTAGCGACTAGGTCAGATGAGACCAAGTGTGGCGCAGCCCTGACCCGGAGCAGGGCCTCGGTAAAACTTCTGGCCTTGGGAGGGAGAGGCAAGGCCGTGCCTGAGGGCAGATTCCACTGCACAGACGGACTCCGCTGGGAAAACTGCTTGGAGACAGGTCTGCCTCCCTCCCTCAGTCACCCCCAGGGAGTCAGGTTACTACCAGCTACATGACCTTGGACAAGTCACTTCCTTTTCCCCAAGGAGGTCTGTTTCCTCAGCTGTAATATTAAAGACTGACCTAGATGATTTTTAGGACAAGTCCCACTGACATTTTGTTAGTGTTTTGTATGCCACTCCCAATAGCTACTCAGCCCCGGTCATCCATGGGTAAAGGCATTTTGGGGCGGGGGGGGGGTGGTGAGGGGGGGCGGTGTCGGTGTGGTGGTGGTGGAGTCAAGGGCCACACATTTCCTCTTTAGGAAATAAGAACCGCATTGTCTGTGCCTTTCTCTCTGCCTGACACCCTCATGGCGACACCAAAACTCCTGCACCAAGGCCTTGAGTGAGCAGCACCCTGCATCTACCCTGGCTCGTAGGCCATACCTAAGTACCCTTGGAATAACCCGCCCATTCCCACCTTAAACCCCCAAATCACTTCTCTCCCTGGAGGCCAAGCAGTGTGGGAGCGCTCCCAGCTCCCGCTGGTTCTCCTGCACGTACATTACAAATAGTTCAAGTGACAAATGGCTCCTGGACTCTGGAACAAATAAAACCCCAGTGGGCAGCAGCGGCAATGGCCACTTCAGCAGCAGTGGGCACCCTCCTGGGCCTGCACAGACATCTGTCTCCCTCCACAGGGGGATGGGCGGAGCTGCCCTCGCTGTCCATTGGCCAGGAGCTGGACACCGAAGGCACATGGCTCACCCCATCCCTCTCCCTCCTTCCCTCCCCACCCCACCCATTCCTGTTGCTAAGCCTGCCTTTCTCCCACCCCAGGGCCAATCTCCATGGCAACTTGTTGTGGTAGGGGCCCTGAGTGGCTGACCCTGCTGTCAGGTCAGAGACTCAGGCTGGTTCACCACACAGCTCACAAGGGTTTAGGCAAGGGTGGGTATTTAACCCCTCAGGTCCAACTCCAGTGCCCATGGCCACCAGGTAGCAGTGAAGGAGGGGAGAGGCAGAGGACACACATGGGAAGGGCGGGTATTCGTACAGGTCTCTGGCTTCTGGGAAACTCCCCCAGCCCTTACCCAGGGCTCTGGCACCCATGCCAACTTAGGTGCCACCTGGAAATATACTGGTGCCAACCAGGCCAAGGGGGCCCTCCTAGCCCCATCATCTGGAAGGGGTGGGTGGGGTGGAGGCCTCCCCCTTCTTTCTGCCAGGGTGGGGCACTAGTGCCAGGATGCCCACCCCACCTTGGGCACCCTTCCCACCTCTGCATCCCAGAGGGCCCAGCCCCCTGACGCCCCATGAGGGCGGCCCATCCCCACCCAGCCTGGCATGCCCCCTCTTGCTAAGACCTTGTGGGCATGGGTGTGTGTGGTTGGGGGGGCAGCTATGCCAGGGCACCAGGCGAGGTCTGTTTGCCTGGTAGGGGGAAGAACGGGGCCCCGCCCCATCACCCCCCCTGTCCGTCACCCCCCCCAGGCTCCCCTCACTGTCAGGCCTGCTAGACCGGCCAAGCCAGTGGGCAGCTCTCTTGAAACTGGGCCCTGAGTCAAGCCTGCCCCATAGTCGGTTGGTAGCGGGAGGACTCTGGGGTGAGGAAGGTGGGATGAAGCGAAGGTGGGAGCCACTGTCAACCACCCCACGGTGCCCACGGGTGCCTGCCAGGGCATGTCCACCACCAAGAACCCACAGGTAGAGGGCAGTGGCCCTAGCTTGACAAGGAAAAGGAGGCCGGAACTCTTTCCAGGGCTGACCTCAGGCAGTGTCCAGTGCAGGGGGCACCAAGGCCAACACTGCTGGCTTGAGCCAGCTGAGGAGCAGGGATACGAGGCCCTGAACAGGGCAGCTGAGTAAAGCTGGCCCCCCTTCCCTACACCCTGGGGATTAGGGGAGTGAGGCTTAGTGTGGGGGGCAGCAGGCGGAACCAGGATTAGCAGTGGAGAAAATAGATATGGGCCTGAGACACAGGCACACTGAGTGCGCCCCCCCCCAGGCTCCGCCAGGGAGCCTGAGAATAGCTTGGCCAGGCTTGTCCAGGTGCAGCAGCTTGGGGTGAGGGGGCATGAGGACCAGGCTGTGACATCCTCCCGTCAGGGGTGATGGAGAGACCTGGGGCTCCTCCTGGTGCCCTGGCACCTTGGCCAGCCACCCCTCCCCCTCGCTTCTTTCTCCATGCTATCCCTCCACTCCCACCCCAACTCTAGCCTCAGGTTCTCTTCCTGTTTTTTTGGAACTGAGTCTGCACGAAGGCAGGGCTTTGGCCTGTGGCTGGATCAGAGGGCTGGGGACACGGGACAGCCGGTCCAAAGTCCTCAGGGACCGAGGAACCCTAGTTCCCCAGCCGCTCCCACCCCTCAGGGCCTCTGGGACCCAGGGGCTGAAGCCATCTGGACTGCTGGTTGGGAAGGTGGGCTGGAGGGCTGAGGCAACGGCCCTGGTGTGCTGGAAGGGCTTCGAAGGACACGCACCGCGCCTGGGGATGGCCAGGCGGTCACAGAGCCCTCCTCTCCCCATCCTAGCCCCTCCAAAGTGAGTGCACGACTTCCCCATCCCCCATATGCCGCTTCCCCCTCCTAACCTCACCACCCCCAGCACTCACACTTCCTGGGGGCCTAGGCGGGGAAGAGAGACCGCAAGCCACGAAGGGGGAAGGAGGCAAGGGGAGCTGGCTGCTTCCCGGTGCTGTGGGGGTTAAGCTGCTCCTGCCTCAAAATCCCCAATTCCTGGTGCTTAGACTCCTGACGTGAGGGGGACCTCAGCGTTTCCCCACATTTTCTTTCCTGTGACACCAGCCCTGGCCCTCAGCCCGCATCAGGGAACTATGATGGAGAGGAAAGATGGCGGAGGAGGGAATGGGGGCATCTCTCTCTTTTCCAGCCTTCTTCCCTTTATCTCGGGGGACCCCTGCCCATCAACCATTCTCCACCCTTGGTCCCTTTTCTTGGCTTCCTCTTCTGTCCCCTTAGTGCCTTCTCTGACCCTTGTCCCCTCTCCACGACTCATCCTCGGCTTTCCCTCCTTTGGCCGCTGCCTGGCCCAGGCCTCCTCTACCACGTCTGTGTCCGGAGTCCTCCTAGAAACCGTCTCTGCCTCTCCTTTTCCCTTTCAGTTCTCTCTTTCAGGTCTCTCCCACTTTCTCTAGTTCGCCCTGCTCCAAGGATATTTGCTCTTCTTCCCAGGCAGGCTCAGTGTGGAGGGGGGCAGAGGAAGTACATCAAGGAGCTCAGCCTGCCGCCGCCGAGGCCTGGCCTTGCCATGGGGTGGCCGCATCCAGGGCACCTGTGCCTCCCTTCTGGATGAAGCACAGGACCAAAATTTGGGGGCCGGTCGAGGAGGATGGGTGGAGGGGGTACAGTGAAAGCGGATGTGTGGGGTGGGGTGGGGTGGGGAGGACAACCTAGGCCTCTCTGCCCGTCAGAGTTTCCAGCCCTGAAGCTGCTGGACTTTCCCCAGAAGGTGCCCACCCTGAGCCGGGCCACTGTGCGCTAGGACAGACCCGGCCATCAGGGATCCCAGCAGGGTCCGCCTGGGAGCGCCAGCTCCTCTCACGGCCTGAGGTGGCACAAGGTGCCAGGGTCTGCCCTGTGCCCACCCCCTCCCCCAGCCTAGTGTCTCTGGCCGGGTAACTGAGCCGACTGGTAACCCCACACCCGCCAAGCCGACAGCAGAAACCTGAGCCCCCCAGCCCCAGAGGACACCCCAGCTCGATCCCCGGAGCCCGGCGCCCTGCCAGCCTGTCCAGCCTCCTGTCCCGGCCCAGCACTCCCGCGGCTCCTGCAGGCCTCTCTCCTGCTCTCCTGCCCTCCTGGGCCTGTCCCCAAGACGCTGAAGCTCCCCCATGCTCCACCTCCTCAGAACCTCGGCTCCCTAAACTCCCCAGAGAAGTCTGGACACTCTCTTCCTCACCCATTTTTCAGTCCCTCTCTGACCCTTGTCCAAGTTAGGCCTCCAAGCCTCCCCTAGGGCCTGACCTCCCGAGGCAGAGCAGAGCCTACTCACCTGAACGCCGAGGGGCCTTGCCGGCAACCGACTCCTCTTGGCCCCCGGGGGGAGCAGCTGGGGAGGGGTGAAGGAGGGCCAGGCTGGGGGGTAGGTAGGGTGGCTGTTCCCCGCTCCAGCTCCCTCCTTCAAAGGGGCCGCCCACGACCTGGTCCAGCCCCTCCCCCCTACAGCCTTAACCCTCAGGGTGCTATCCCCCTCCCCCCAGCTTGGAGGGAGGGGTTACCAGAGGGCTGGTAGCGTGGGAGACGGCCTAGAGTCTCTGCCTGTGGTGCCCGAAGCCCCAGCTGTACCTACCCCCGCCTGTCCTTAGTCCTAAAAGGGGAAAAAGGTGAGCAGGAGGAAAGGTAGGAGCTAGGACAGTCCAGGAGGACAGAGGTGAGGAGGAGCAATGGGAGAGGCTGCTGGAGGTGGGACTGGGGAGAAGGAAGAAGGGAGGGGAGGGGACAGAAGGCGGCAGTGGCCAGAAGAGGGAGGAGGGGAACCTTGGACAGTCAGTGCCAAGGGTGACAGGTGCCCAGGTCCCAGCCCCTCAGGGCATGTGGTGTGATAGGGGACCACAAGGAGGCCCTCCAGACCCCAGTAGGCCTCTCAGCCCCCTTGGGAGCTGGCCGAATTCTCTCCACCCTATACTGGGCTGGGGCCCTTAGGGGCTGGGCAAGGCAGCACCCCGCCCTCCCCATGCCTCACCCCAAACCCACTCACATACCACAGTTCTCTGCTCTGGCGCCAGCCCCTGCCAACCAGGCCAGGGGGCAGCACTTGTGCCAGCCCCCAATGGCCAAGGGGATCAGGGGGACAGAACTGGCCCGAGGGGGGTGGGCAGATGGGGGGAGCTGTGGGCACCGAAAGAGGAAGAAGCTGAGAGGGGGCATCTGCTGGGAAGCGCGCCTAGCCCCACCCCTTGCGCAAGCAAGCTGCTGCCACCCTGGCCGGTTGGGTGGGACCCGCCTGGGCCTGAGGGGCAACTCAGGAGGGCTCTGAGCCCAGAGATGGGTGGGCCACAAAGTCCCCACTTCAACAACTTCAGGGGGCTCTTATTCCTGGAGTAAGTGGTACCCTAGTGTCCCCCAAACCCTAGGCCATCCCAAATCCTGCCGGTCTGGGAGAAACCACAGAAATGCCCCCCGAAATATCCCTTCCCCTTTCCCCCCAACAGCTGCTGGCTCAATGCCGCTGGCCTGCTGCCCCTCACCAGCTCCCGTCCCGGTTGGCACCTACCCACCAGGATGCTGGCAGTCGTGCCCTCTCTCCCTCCTACCCCCCTGCTCCCAGTGCCCCATGCCAACTGTGGGCCTGGGGTGGGGGAGGGTCACCCCTGTGCTTTGGTGCCAGCCAGGCGGGCCTAGGCCCCTAGGTCCTACAGATAAGGCCGAAGACCCTGTTCTCAAGCCATCTCCTCAAGAGGCAGCACGTGGGTCAGGGCCTGTACAGAGACAGCCCAGGGGGCTACGGTCAGCCTCGTGAACAGTTATTGAAGGCTCCACTCCCCAGGGTAGGGCCCAGTGTCTCTCCCTGCCACCAGGCGCCAGCCTCCCAGCATTCCCCCTGCCCGAGCATTTGCTGGGGCACCAAAGTCTCTGTGATTCCCGAAAGCCTTAATGCCAGAAGGCTAAGAGGGAGTGGGGTGGGGCTGCTGTCTGCCCTTTGATCCCCATAAAGGAGGGAACAAGCCTAGAGGGCAGGGGACAGGGAAGGAGTCCATGGGGCCCCTCAATTTCACCCCTGCCAGGGGCAGCAGGGCAGGGTGTGGGGATCCCTTGGGTGCGGCCCTAAGGTGACAATGGGTAGCATGTCTCAGCAGGTGAGACGGATGTCAATCATGGGCACTTGGTGTCACAGGGGAACAGGATGACAAGAACCAGGTTGGGGCACCTGGTGGGGGGGCGGATGCAGAGGGTACCCATGATCCAATTCATCCCAATCCTGGCTTTTACTCCCATGCAGAAACATTTCCAGACTTAACCAAATCGAGAGATCGAGGACTACAACTCCCAGTATGCACTACAATTGCTTTGCATGTACCTTGGGAGTTGTAGTTCCCTTGAGAAGCCGTGTGCTCTCTCTTCTCTTCCCAGAGCCTTACTGATGGGGTGGGAGGGCAGAGCAGAGGATCTGGTCACAGATCTCCAAGGAGATTATGTTTAGAAGAGGTAACAGGCTAGGAGGCCCATGGTGCGGGGAGAGGACCCCTGCTCCCAGGCAAAGGGGGAGGAAAGGAGGAAGGAAGGAAGAGAGGATGTCTGTTGAAAGGGGCATAAGGGTGGGGAGGAGTGGGGGGGGCCAGTGGAAACAGGAAGGAAACCAAAGCCAGAGACATGAGGTCTAAAGTAAGGGCCTGGTGGAGTCCCACTCGGAGGCCTGGCAGGGACTGGGAAGGCATTTTCCCCTGCCATTCTGGTGGCCTAGGGACGCATAAGAGGAATTAGTGACATCAAGTGATAGCAAAATGGTGTGCGGAGGGGGTCACTGGCTCAGTCTGCCTGCTACCAGCCCTCTTTCCTTGGGGCGCCCAAACCCTTGGGCCAGGCACTGGTCTCTTCTGGCCGGGGAGTTCTGAAGGCCGACCTGGTTTGGGGATGCTGGCAGGCAGAGGAAGGGGCTGGGGGAGACCGGGGCCAGGCCCGAAGGGAGTTCAGTGAGTGAAGTGCGCATGGGGTCAGGCCCAGGTGTGAGGCCAAGGAACTGTGCTGGCGAATGAGGGCGCTATCCTCTGGGGCGGGGACCACGGCAGCCCGGAGGCTTCATCAAAGAGAGGACTGAGATGCCAAGGCCACCAACCTTGCACCCACCTCGGGCTGTGGGACAGAATGAAGGGGGCAGTTCTCTGGTCCCCCTGTGGTATTTGCTAAGGGGAGCTTCCGCCTGTGCCAGGAAGCCTGTGAACATTAAAGGTGGGAACTCGGGGCCAGGTGGCAGCTGGGTGCCTTTCCTTAGTGGGAGTGGAGGTCAGTAGTGGACAGAGGCTCTGCTTCGAGGCCACTGTGCTTGGGCTCCCCAAGACTCTAAGACAGATGCTACAGGCCCCAGTCAAGACCTGAGTCTGGCTGGGTGGTGGGGTCTTTCTTGATCCTCGGAAGCCCTTGCTGGTGGACTACAGTAGTCCTAACCCCTTCCCCCCAGTCCCCCAGGCCCGCTTTGGCGCCTGGCCGCCTGTGTGTTGGCAGGACTGGGGGTGGGGGGGCCGCGAGGCAACTTCAAACTGTCCGGGCAAAACGTCAAGTTTACTCACGAGTTTACTCAGCAGAAGGAGGGGGAAGAGGCCAGGGCAGGCACACCCCATGCCAGGGTCCTATCCGTCCCCACCTTCCTCCCTCACCCTCCTCTTCAGTCCTACGCCAAAACAGGCATAGGCCACGAGGCCCGGTGGCAGAGCAGTCCTAACTCGCAGAAGGTCAGGGAACCGAGCGGGCCAGAGGCAGGAAGCCCTGCAGCAGGCCCAGCGGCTTCTACCAGAGGGCAGTGCCCTGCCTGGAGTCCATTCACTGCCCATCTTGGGCCTTGGGCCAGAACTGGGTCTTTCAGCCACCAAGAAGGAGGCAGTACCAGGCCAGGCCTCTTCTATCTCAAGAGTCCCCTAGGCAGTGACTTCTGACCCCAAATGCCCAGTCCTTGGCTGTGCCTCAGGCAGCATAATGCCATCTGGGCTGCCATAGAATCAGAGGCTGCTTCTTTCAGCCTTGACTTGGAATGGGGGGCTAGCACCCTATCTGACCTACTTCCCTTTCCTCTCCACCTGCTTTCATTCTCTATGTCTCTCCCCCAGCCTTCACTGTCCCCTCAGGGGCACTCCGTCCCCCATGCCTGCTGGGACCCCTCCCCCATCCCTCCCCAGGGTGCCAAGTGCAAGCACACAAAGGGCCCGATGGTGCATTGTTAGCCCAGCCCCCGCTGCCCGCCGCGCCCTCCTGGGGCGGGCACTAGGCCAAGGAGGAGCCGGGGGCCCTGGGTGCCAGGGGGCACCACAGGGAAGGGAGAGGAGGTCAGCACCTGTCCCAGACACTGGGGCGCACATCAGCCAGAGCCGAGCAGTGATGAGAGTGCTCCATTAGAGCGGGCCTCTCTCCTTGACACCTGAGCCTAGTGGGCACTGCCTCCTTTCTTCCCCAGAGCCCCTCTGCGTTGGCATTAACCCTTTCCTGACCCTTGCGCTAAGGCTGGGGGGTGTGATACCCATGGGAGAGGACAGCGTCTGGGGGTGCCAGTAGGCTGCATCGTGCCCACAGCAACCATGTAACAGAGGCACGCTGGGGAAGCTGGGGTCCCGGGGGCCAGGGACAGGAGGCAGTGACAGAGATTTCTTCTTGTTTCATCAGCTGCTCCAGAGGGAGCCCCCTGCCCTTCTTCCCAGGCACCACTGAGGAAGAACACTAACTACCTCCCAAGCTCAGTCACAAATATGTCCCTTCCCAGACCAGCACAACACTCCTTGTGCCCACTCTCCCCTCCCAACCTGATGCCCACTCCGTGCCAGCTCTCCCAGCAGTGCCAGGCAGGTACAGGGGTGACCAAACCAGTTGGTGTGTGTGGGGGAGCACAAGGCAACCCCATAATCCTCCAGGCCTCACCCCCACACACACACACATCCTCAGAGAACAGAGAGTTCCCAACCTGGTTTAACCCATCACTGCCCAATCTGGCTGCCCTGCCCCTGATAAACTGTCTCCCTCCTCAAGGAGTAAGTTGGGGGAAGGGGAAATAGCTGCGCTGACTCATTCCCATTCTCAGCTGCAGCTAAGGGTCTCTAAGGCATTAGGGTGGGGGTCAATTCAAGAACGCCCTCCACCTGGCCCGGAAGCCAGGACAGCGTGCTGGTCTCCCCCTCTCTCCAGCACCCACTTCCGGTGTCCCAAACTAGGTCAGCAGTGCTCGTTTCCTGTGGGTCAGCTAGCACCAGTGCCTCTGCCCCTCCCCTGCTCCGGACCCAGGCTCCCCGCCCCCCCACAGGGCGCCCCGAGGTCTCACCACGTCTCAGCCGCCCTTTGATACGTGGGGGTTGTGCGGGCGGGGGGCAGGGGACCCGCCCTCTCTCCAAACACCAGCGAGGCCGGGGCGCCTGGGCAGGCACGTGTCCGGGCACAACCCGCTGCCCACGCCGCTCCCCCACTCCCGCCAACCCTCCCCCCCTCTAGCCGGGACACGTCGCTTGCTGACTTGGGGTGGGGTGAGAGGAAAGAAAGCTGGAATTGGAAAGCAGCGCCCCCCAACTCCTTTGAATGGCAGCCCTCTTCCAGTAGCGCTTACTGTAGGCTCTACAATACAGTAGCGACCCCTATTCTGGGTAGGGGCAGGTGCGCCGGAGCCGGTGGGGGTGCGAGTAGCAGACAGAATCCTTCCTAGTCACCCACCCTCACCCTTGGGTTCTAGGACATGAGCTGGCTTTGAAAAGGTGGCGGCGGGACTAGAGCCTGAGGCAGGGAGTGGAATTGAGGGACGACGGAGAGAGGGGTTGTTCTGTGTCGCTCAGACGTTGTCGCTTAGCCCCACTACGGGAGAGAGCGCGGCTCTGGAAGCGCAAGAAACCGAATAGTCTAGCTGGTAACTTTCCCCCCGGTCGCGGCTCCTCCTGCGCTCCCCCCACCCCCCTTGAAACTGGCTTGGGTCCAACCCACAGCG